AGCCTCCTCCGCCACCGCGACTCCGGAACCGGTCCCGCGACATGACCGTACTCAAAGGGCGGTCGAGGCAAAATCGAAGAAGCCGCTCAGGAAACGTGGAGGCCACTTTGCTTCGCACAAGATGGCGGATGACACAGGAGGCAGGCCGCCTTTGTCCTCGTCTTATATAGTCGCGCTGGAGCGTGGCCCCGCCCTCTCCTGGATCGACAGCTCTCATAGCCAATAGCAAGTGCCATACGCGATGACACGCGCTTACGAACCGCTTATCTTTTTTTTTTTTTTTTTTAATTGACTCCCGTTGAGGGGCGGGAGGCTTGGAGTGGCTGAGCTTTCTAGTTAGCCAATGAACAGGAAAGGAGTTGGCTGTAGGCCACTGATTTGCTGCGAGAAATTTGAATGGTCATTGCCAGACCAATTTTCCCGTGAAAGCAAATAGTCCGGACTGGGTTTTCTTGCCCAGAAACAACGGATGTTCTCACGACCATGATAAACTTGGTGGGTGGGGGGGTGCGGGGTGTGTGTGTGTGTGTAATTTTATAATTCTATATATACCGAGTTTTTATACCAATATAATATATACCAATATATTATATATAAATATATACCAAGTTTAAATGTATAATTTTTTTTAATTTTGGTTTATAAGTGAGGTGGCTAAATCGGCAAACAGGTGGCTATCCACCCTACCTTGTATGGAGTTAATAAAGTTAGAGAAATAAAATCATACCAATTTCAAAGAAACACATTCACATTTTGAAACCGTAAAGGCATACACGTTTGTTACAGTACTATGGACTTCTCATTAGGCTTAAGTAGGCATATTCCATCCAAAAAGGAAAGCTTCTTGATTAAAAATATATACATTTACATGTTAATTTGCACATATAAGGAATATAGCATTTTTCTTTATCCCAGTACTACTTAATACATTCTGAGCTTATTATAATCCTTAGTTGTTGTTAACTACCATTGAGTAACCCCCGGATTTATGCTACTTCTGTCCATGAATATGAATGACTTCAACCTCCTCACATCAATCTTTTCTTCCATTCTCTACCAGCCATCTCCCCATTGCCTCACTGATTGTCAGCTCAGTATTTGTTTTTGCTAGTAACCATACCATTTCTGACATTTTAAGCATCTGCTCACTGTTCATCACTTTTGGGTTAAATTATCATACTAACCCCATCATTCTTTGACCTTGTCAAGCCTCCCACATCATTACATTTATTATTCCTCAAATTCTTATATTCATAACTTATTTTGATAAGTTAGATACTGTGGTATAGTGAATAATTATGGCTGGACCTTTAGTCATTCATAGTATTGTAAGTCCCACAAAACTATTATGTGGGACTATGCAAATGAGGTATTTATGTCCCACCAAAGGATTAGACAGCCTGCCAATACAAATAAGGTGCAGGTACCATTGTGGGAGTTAGTCCATGAAAGAAAACGATTAGTCTGTTTCGCCATCCCTAAACCACAAAACTAAACTCATTGACATCCAGTCAATTCTGACTTAAAGTAACCTTTTAGGACACAGTAGAACTTCCTTTTGGGGTTTCCAAGACTAAATCTTTACAAGTGTAGACAGCCTCATCTATCTCCCAAGGAGCCACTGGTGGGTTGGAACTGCTAACCTTGTGCTTAACATCCCAAAGCATAACCCACTACTCTACTAAAACTCCTTTTGCCATCTCAAAAAATGAGCCATTTCAAAAGTAGGAAAGTAGGAAAAAATCCCTCCAGATTCCTTAGCCATCAAACCTAAACGGTGATCTGAGTGGCTTAAAGACAAAAGGAGGAAAGGGAAACTGGAATGGACTTGGAGTCTTGTGACAAACTAGTTCACTTCAGACAAACACACACACACACACAAAGTGGGGTAAAGGAGATCTTACTATGATCAAGAAAAAGAACCAAGAGCCAAAGTACGTCTTTAGACCTGGGGCCTGTATGCTGAGAACCCCCTAGACCCAGGAGAAAGAGAACTCTTAACACCGCAGACAGTATGAAATGGTGAGAAGTTGGGGGAGGTGCTATTGAGTCCCTTTCATAGTGACCCTGTATGCAACAGAATGAAATACTGTCCAGTCCTGGGCCCTCCTCCCAATTGTTCTTATGCTTGAGCCCTTGTTACAGCCACTGTGTTGAGGGCCTTCCTCTTTGTAACTGCCACTGTTCTTGGCCAAGCATGCTATCCTTTGCCAGGAAATGGTCTCTCCTGATTATATGGCCAAAGTACATGAGACAAAATCTTTCTGTTCTTGCTTCCAACATTCTAGTTGTACTTCTTCCAAGATGGATGCTTGTTCTTTTGATAGTCCGTGGTATTTCCAATATTCTTCACCAGCACCATCATTCAAAGGCATCAATTCCTCTTCAGTCTTCCACAGTCAGTGTCCAGCTTTCACATGCATACATGAGATGATTGAAAACACCATGACTTGGCTCAGGTCCACCTTAGTCTTTACAGTGACTTCCTTAGTCTTCAACACTTTAAAGAGGTCTTGTGCTGCAGATTTACCCAATGCAATGCATCATTTGATCTCTTGACTGATGTTTCCATGAGCATTGATTGTAGATCCAAGCAAAATAAAATCCTTGACAATTTTAAACTTTTCTCTGTTTAGCGTGATGTTGTTTATTGTGAATATTTTTATTTTCTTTACGGGGAATTTTAAGCCATACTGAATATGCAATCCTTGAGCTTCATCAGCAAGTACTTCAATTCCTTCTCCATTTTAGCAAACAAAGTTGTATCATCTGCCTATTAAAGATTGTTAATAAAGCTTCCTCCAGTCCTGAAGCTTTGTTGATCTTCATGGAATCCAGCTTCTCTGATGATTTGCTCAGCATACAGATTGAATATATGGTGACAGCATTCAACCCTGAACCCCACCTTTCCTGATTTTAAACAATTGCAGTATTCCCTTGTTTTGTTTGAATGACTGCCTCCTGATCCATGTACAAGTTCTGTCTGAGCTCAATGAAGTGTTCTGGAATTCCCATTCTTTATGTTATTCATAGTTGGTTATAGTTGGGCCTTGCGGTGCCATGGTTATGCTCTCAGCTGCTAACCAAAAGATTGGAGTTCGGATCCAGCCAGTGGCTCCATTAGAGAAAGATATGGGGATCTAATGTAGATAATCCATTTAAAGCTTCAATTACTCAATGATTAAAAAAAAACAACTATCAAAAGTAAATAGAGAGAGCTTCAAATACCATCTAAAAATGGGTACTCCCTAAACCTATTACTCCAGGTTAGAGGTTGTGGTAGTTATATCGGACATATGGGCTAATATCAGAATTATGGACTTGATCTGGACTGGGCTGGGATGTTTTCTCAATATTCAATTGCTCTTGTATATAAAGCTCTTTCTTATACACATGAGTGTCTCTATGAATTAGTTTATCTAGTCTTCCTGGGACTAACACAGAACTCTTCTCTGATTTTCCAAATCATATATCCAATTATGTAGTAGACATCTCCATTTGGAGGCCTAGTTGGCCTATAAGTTAGTAAGTTTAAATTGTGACTCTTGATTTTATCAACCTAACCAGTTCCTTCTCTAATTTTCCCACCTTCGTAAAAGACATTACCTAGTTGTTCAAGACGAAACCTATGCTTTATGTTCTTTGTAAAATCAAACACAGGTTATTCTCTTGCCTCCTCCATGACAACTTAGTTTGCTTCATCTTCCTCTCTTACCTGAGCTGCGGAACTACTGTAACTGCTTCTCCATTTCTCGCCCTGTCCTCTCTAATCCACTCTCCTTTCACACGGAAGCTAGAATTTTTTTCCTCCACAAATAACTCAGAAAGTGTACCTCTTCTTAACTATGTCAAGCACTTCAGTGGATTCCCATTCCTCTTGGAATACTCCTAAAACCTAAATACCTTCCCAAGGCCTGTAAGGAATGGTGGGGTCAGAGCGCCCCTCTACTTTTACAGGCTTAACTTTTTAGTGCCCTAACTCCAGTCCCACTAATTCCCCAGCAGTTCTCCTAGCAGATTCTTTTATCTGCCTGGATTTTAGCCTCGGGTGGTTTGGACTCACTGTTTCCTTGGGGTAAAGTGCTTTTCCCTCCAGCTCTTTGTACTTGTCCTTCTTCCCTCTCCGCTTTGAAAGTCCTTAACTTGAATGATGTGAATCATCCTCTCTAAAGTAGGCATCTCAAAAATGAACTGCTGACAGCACTCTCCACAATTTGTATTATCCTGTTTGTTTCTGCACTTATTATCTGTCTCCCCATTGTATTGGAACTCTGTCTAGGCTCTTTAAGGCTCTACCATTGGACCTAACACAGACACTAACCAGAGGCACTTAATATTTGTTGAATAAATTAGTGAAATCGTAAGGACTGGCTCTGGAACTGACTACTGGGTCCTGTATCAACATTCTTCACTTTTCTGACACACTCCTTAAGGAGTATACACCCTTATGTGAAGTGTTTTGTTATTTCCAAGTGTTCAATAAATACTAGTGATTTTTATAAATAAGTCATAGATCTCTAAATGCACCGAGTATCACTGTCTAGAAGTTGAATAATAAGAGCCTTGCTAGCGTATTATTCTTGGAAAGAACAAATTTGTAACGCATTTTAGAAGAAAATCCATCTTTGACTTTAACAGATTAGAAGAATGATGAAACACAACTAAGTCAGGTTTTTCTTGACAATACTGGTTTGTCTCCCTCACTGACTGTGGCAGTCACAAAATGTTGCCTCAACCTGAGGATATCTGTGGGGGGAGGTCAGATGCTTAATCCTCCTTGAAGGCAATCTGCCAGGCTGCTGTCTCACCCCACCACACGGTGGGCCTGCTCACTGCTGCTGGAGACAATGGATGGACTACTTCTCCCTAAAGCTTGCAACCATTAGCTTGGTTCCTGTAGGTGGAGTTCACACCCTACTGATAATGGTTCATACGGAAATCCAGAAAACAGGTCAAAGTTAAGCTGCCATCCTAAATCTAGGATCCGTCATCTTGTCACATGTATACCCCTAATCCCTCCTCTTCCTATTGCATGCATGTCCCTAGACCACCCCCTCTCATTATTGTATTACCTGTAGCACACCTCCTTCCTGTGACATATGTCTTCACCTGTAATTAGGGGGCTTGCATATCCCCAGAGAATATAAAAAGCTTTGGTTAGCATTAAAGATTCTCTCCCTCCCCGTGGACCACCAAGCAGGGCTGAGGTGAGCATGC